ATCATGGCTTTGTGTGCTGCATAGTATTCCACTGTGTGAATGAACCATAATTTCTCAATCCATTTGTGTGGTTAGACATTTGGGCTGTTTCCATGTTACTGTGATAATGAATAATGCTGCTGTGAACATTGGTGTACAAATCTCAGTTTGTGTGTGAGCTCTCATATTCTCAGGGTATATTCCAAGTAGTGGAATAGCTGGGTCATACGGAATTTCTATGTTCAGTTTTTTGAGGAAGTGCCCTTATTGTTAACATTGCCAACAAAAAAACTGGAGATGCTGGTGTAAGGTGTATATTTAAGGACCATAAACTACGAGGAAAAGATGATGGGACAGTAGCCCAGTGAAGTAACAGCTTTTGTGGAGAGATTGGATAAAGGAGAAAAATATGCACTTTCACAATAATGCTACAATAAACAGAACTATCATCCTTCTGTTTGTTGTCCCATTAATGTTCATGGAGAAATAACGTGGCAATGTCACAAGCTACAACGTGATCAATTCAGGAAGTAAATCTGGATCTGTCTGGCCACAAACTGTATTCTCTACACATCAGTGTTTAAGATTGGAAAAATGCATGCATGTTTAAAAGCAAAGAAAAGAGGAGGAGGTTTGGAGATACTGCTATTCCTTTTATGGAAAAACAAAGAAATTCCTTTCTCTAAGGTACTGAGAAATAGAACTCTGGTTAACAAATCTGAGTTGAGTCCAGAGCTTCTCAAATTCAATTACAGAGACATTTTGGAAAGAAAAAGAAAGAAATCTGGAAAAAAAATTGTAGAAAGGAAAAAGTAATAATCCACTCCTTCAGTAAAAATGTCTAAAAAAGAAACAGAAGAATAGAACAGTGTGTAATTTAGATAAAAGTTACAAAGGAGTCTAATAAAGTAGAGGAATGGCGCTGTCAGGTAAACACAAGATACATGAGGAAAAGGACAAAGAAAACCAATTAAGGCATGAGCGGAGAGTGCGCTTCAGCATGGGTTTACACCACTGGCTTTTGGCTTTCTGAGTGGTAAAGCTTATTGTCATCAGGCACATCTTTCACCTTCAGCGTTTTCCTATGTTGAGTAATGTCAGACTACTGCTTGTCATCACTTAAATCAGTGCCTCTACCCACACAAGGGTTCAACAAATAGCAAAGTTAAATGCCATGATAGTTTGTGAGTTCTGTAAAGCTATCTAATCTTATCAGTAATCAACTGAATGCAAATTAAGACACTGGCTTCATCTATAAAAAATGAGTATGGATTTAAAATATTTTCAATGCTGGTGAAGACAGGACAAGAAAAACATTCTCAGTTATTACTAGTATTAAGTGCTAATTTCAACCTTCAAAGGTATTCAGAGAGAACTTTGAATACCAAGAATTAAAAATACACTGATCATTTGCCCCAGGAAGTCTATGTCTAGAATTTTACCCTAAAGAAATCATTTTAAAGATTAAAAAAGCTCTAGGCATAAAGACATTCATTGTTTTTTTATAATAATGAAAAACTGGAAACAACTGTGCAACATTAGGGGAAGTGCATTACAATGCACCCATTGAACGAATTATACAGTCACAAGAATGATTTTCTAGGAATTAAACATGGAAAAATACTTGTGCCAAAATAAAAGTTAAGAAAGAACCCAGTATGATTATATTACAGTTCCATGACTTAAAATAATTTACAATTTTTCTGGAGCAAAAGCCGAACGTGCAGAGCCTCAGTGCAATGACGGAGATTCAGGAGTGACTCATTCAGCTAGGGAGTGATCTAAAGAGAAGAGACTGGGAGTTGAGATGAGTCCAGTCTTTCCTACACAATCTACCCTGTGCCCAATTTTCAAGAAAAGATTGCTGTTACTGTCAGAGAGACAGCTACAGAGTAGGCAGCTTTCAGTTTAGAGATGGAAATGTGGCCAAACACCACTCCAGCATCTCAAGGTTGATTTTTTGTTCTGTGCTCAAACACTGAAAATCTAAATTTGTTTAGCTACACCTCATTTTATATGAAGGAGCTCTAATGACCGACTGATAAAGAATTGTGCTGCCAACCTAAAGATATGTTAGTTCAAATCCTGAGAGTCTCACAGAGAAAGATGGGCAATTTTCTCCTGTGTGATTTACTGTGAAAATCTGCTGGCAGGGTCCGCTAGCAGTTGGTTCCTACTTGACTACATATTAACAGCAACAATATTTTGACAGTTTAAGCCACTGACATTGTGATATGAAAACTGAAGTTTTTCCATTTATTGTCATTTGATATTTCCAAAATGTTCCACCAAAATGGGGTTTGGGGAGAGAGACACTAATGCAGCACTGAAAAACAAGAAACTCATGAAATATTATACAAAATGGATGACAGTAGAGGACATTATGCTAAATGAATTACCTTAGTAAAAAAACACACAAATATTGCATAATGTCACTGTCATACAACAGGACCGACATCAGGGTTGGGGGAAAACTAAGGAAAAAGGGGATAAATAATGTACACAGCACTGAAACAGATGAGAGAAAGAACTGCCTAAAAGGAATATATGATTAGGTATTACTTGTATGACAACCATCCAGAATAAGAACTGCATCGTAAAGTGGATTATGGTGGGGGTGGGAATTGTACAATAATCAAAGAATTTTTTTTTTCCAAAGAGAAAAGCAAACTGGGAGGGATAGGAAGAAAAATATGCAACAATGAATGAATGGAAATCCAAGTTCTCTGTAAACTTTCATTAAAATATCAATTTTTTTTTTAAAAGAATATACCTACAACCAGGAGAACATAAAATAGATGAATGGAATCTTCTAAGAATCAAATCCCTATGCACATCCAAAAACTTCTCCACCAGGGTAAAAAGGGAAGCCACAAACTGGGAACAAATATTTGGTAATGACATGTCAGATAAGGGACTTATATCCAGAATTTATAAAATACTTGAGCACAACAAGATAAAGGTAAATAATCCAAAAGAAAAATGGGAACAGGATATGAACAGACACTTCACCAAAGAA